GGGGAGATCCTGGCACAGGGCTGTCCATTGCTTATGGGGTAAGATGACTGATGTACACTCACAGTTCCACACCAGCAAGTTGTCTGGGTCACCCTTCCAGACAGCTACTGTACTGCCATCCATCCCCCAGAGCCTGGAATAAACTGGATGCTGCCACACAGCCCCTGCTAGTGGTTACAGCTTAACGCAGCAGGGGGAACACACTGCCACCGACTCGGTGTGCCAGGAAGGGAAGGCCAAGTGCTGTTTATTGTTCTCCAGGCTGAGATGCTCTCGTGCGAGCCCATAGATTACTTCAGCTCATTACAATACTTTTTAATTGCCCAGCTTAAAAGTATACTCCTGATGACTGTGGAACATAAGTTTACAGCAAAGGTTTGCTTTCCTGCACTTGCTGCCTCCTGGATGTGTCTGTTGCTGGATGTGGAAGTGCAGGCTGCCTGCCACTAAGGGGGTACCAGGGACTGTCTGCTCCTTGCTGAAGTACCTGGACCCGAGAGCCTGTGTCAGGGACTGCTCACACACGAGGGTAGGCAGGACCTGGCCTGCAGGTGCCAGCAGCAGTTTGTTTCTACCTGCTGGTGGCTGTAGGAAGCCAAAGTGTGGCAGGAGGTGGAGGTGCAGTCAGGTAGTACTTCAGAGCAAAAAGCAGCACAACACGAGGGCTGAGCAGGAGCGAGGAAAATGGAACCGTATAAATAATGGTCAAACATACATCGAAGTGGGACTGGCTGCAGTTCCCCAGGCAACTCCCATGGCACTCTGGAAGGAGAGTGGGAAAGGTGTGAGTGTGCATAAACGCTGCTGCTGACTCATCTCTCCTCCCTTGCTCCCAAAGCCCCCATTCCTTCCTGGCCACTGCTCACCAGACCTGACCATGAGCTGATCTGACTTTTACACAGTCACACCCCCACAAACCTCAGACTTTCTTGCTTGGTTTTCTGCTGTTGCAGTGAGCTGAAGCAGCTCACACAGGGGAAAGGTGTGAGTGTGCATAAACGCTGCTGCTGACTCATCTCTCCTCCCTTGCTCCCAAAGCCCCCATTCCTTCCTGGCCACTGCTCACCAGACCTGACCATGAGCTGATCTGACTTTTACACAGTCACACCCCCACAAACCTCAGACTTTCTTGCTTGGTTTTCTGCTGTTGCAGTGAGCTGAAGCAGCTCACACAGGGGCCACAAGTGGGCAGCAGGATCAGGAATCCCAGAGGTGGTGCCAGAGTTGCCAGTTTGACTCACAGGATCTTACAAAGCTGCTTTGAGACACTTCTACTTAGCACATGAAGGTGATGCTGTACTGGCCTGACATCTCACTGCCTGCCATGCTGCTCTGCTCCCTGGCCATGTGCTCCTTACCCATACTAGTTCTGGAGCTCACCTGATGACACAGAAAACTGAGCCAGTAACCACAGCAAAAGGAGTGATGATGTGCCACAGTGGAGAACTGCACGGGCCTGTCTGCACAGCAGGCAGATGTGTGCCAGACTCAGAGTGGGACTTCAGCCAGGCACAAGGGTGGCTGGAGTGTGTTTTGCAGAGGCATCTTGGCCTCCTCCTGTACCTGGGAGCTCTAAAATCTTCCCTGAAGTAATTCAGGAAGGAGAAATCCAAGAACTAGGATGAAGCAATTGCCAGGGTTTTTCCTTGTAATATTTGCTCCTTGCAATTTGAGGACAAAACAAGCACTTAGGCACCAAACAGCCAAGCACCATAGAGGACATTAGGGGCTGCTTATCTTTTTAGTGGCAGGAGCTAATGTGTCCTGAGGCTACCTTAATGAAAATGTAAGTTAAGTACCTACTGAGCTGGGGGAGAGGTTTACATTAAATACACATATACTAAACTACAACCATTTTTAAGGCTCCACAGCATCGCAAGGCTAACAATTACTTACATCAAACCAAGAATCCAAGCTTAGCTGCTTGGATCCTCACAAATCTATGGGACCGGATGGGATCCATCCAGGAGTGATGAGGGAGCTGGTGGAAGAGTTTGCCAAGCCTTTCTCCATCATTTACCAACAGTCCTGGCCCACTGGGGAGGTCCCAGAGGATTGGAAGTTGGAGAATGACACACCAATCCACAAAAAGGGTTACAAGGAGGACCTGGGAAATTACAGACTTGTCAGCCTGACCTCAGTGTCTGGCAAAGTCATGGGGCAGATCATCCTAAGTACAATCACAGAGCACCTACAGGATGGGCAAGAGATCATACCTAGTGAGAATGGGTTTAGGAAGGGCAGGTCCTGTCTGACCAACCTGATTTCCTTTTATGATCAGGTGACTCACCTGGTGGATGAGGGGAAGGCTGTGGATGTAGTCTACCTGGACTTCAGCAAAGCCTTTGACACCGTCTCCCATAGCATAATTCTGAAAAAGCTGCAGCCCATGGCCTGGACAGGGGCACTCTCTGCTGGGCTAAGAACTGGCTGGATGGCCCAGAGAGTGGTGGTGAACAGTGCTACATCCAGTTGGCAGATGGTCACTAGTCACTAGTGGTGTTCCCCA